GTGTTTTGCTGGATTCGGAGGTTTGCGCCTCTCTTTGAGCCATCAAAGATGGAACCGATCTTGTCCGACTCATCAATGCCAGCCATCGGGCAAGGGCAAAGCTCTTCCTCAGTACATTAATTGGCAGTGAGCCGCCGCCTCGGCCCGGGTGCAAGGTCCTATGACCATACCTAGGGGAGTCTCCTCCACAAACGTCGACCTGATTTCAGCTTGAAACACATCAGCAGAAGGGTAATTCTTGTGCCCCGAAGGGGGAGGCGCTTCAATTGGGTCCCACTCTTCCCCAATGAGCTCAAACTTAAGGGGCCAGACCCCCGGTGACTTGAGAGTGGGAGTGTCCACTCCGAGGGGCACACCTTCCTTGAGGGTAATCGGATATTCGGAATCCACATCTCGAACATCCTTGAGAAGCGCATGGATCACATCAAGGAAAAATGGCTGCCCAGCCTCAGGCTGGGAGTGTTCTGGCAGAATGAAATCACGAATCTCCTTCATCACAGAATCCGGGAAGGGATGCTGTTTCGCACCGGAGGCCGTCGAAGCAAGAAATTCAGGGACAAGGGGCAGGGCCTTACGCTTAATGAAATCCCCAAGGCCAGAGGCGTGAGCTCCAGTTCTGAGATGGGGAGGAAGACGACCTGGGGAAGTCTTCCCTCCGCCATCCCTGAGAGGCCTAACCTTGAAGCCGTGGGAAACCCTCATGGTGGCATCATCCAGGGACAAACTTTCGGAGAGCGGTAGCGTCGAAGGCCGATCAGACCCTATCTCAGGGGACGCACGTTTCTGATCGCCAGCTTGGGTACCTGCACCAGGAAACCCAGCATCTTGACGCTGCCCCCAAACGGGCGCCGCCCCCTCCGTCCAGCGAAGTCTCGCAGCGGAGGGGCCAGGCAGTGTGCGCACCAGCGAGGCCGCAATTTCTTTCAGCATTGACTCAGGGCGCCTAATGCCCAGGGTCCCCGAATGGGTCAACTTCGGGTGGTCTGGGTGTGTACAGAATTTGCCATCCCAGGATTCCAGGAGCAAGTTTGTGACCGCCCTGGTGGGGCGACGCTCAAAGAAACCAAAGTGACAGAGATCGAAATGGAGAACCGAAAGCCCTAAGTCCGAAGTCCAGGCCTGAAGGGCCGGGGTAGCCCAGGCTGAGGAGCAGCGCTTCCTGGCGGGAGAGACAGCACCTCGAGCCGGGTCCTCAGCAAGCTCAAGAAAACACCTAAACTGAGGCTGGCCCGATTGGGAGCTAGCCACGAAAGCAAAAGAAATCTCAAAAGCAGGAGACTCTCTTCGTCGGCAATTCTTAGGGCCTCGGCAGAGAGGGCTTGAATCCCCCAGGCATCGCGGGGATTGCGTGATCTCTCAGCGTGGAAATGACCTGAATCCTGAAACCACCTGTCCTTACCCCAAGTGCGGAAGTCCGGGCAGGCTCCGACAAAGGAAAGAGCCCCCTGCAGTGCGGCGGTGCAAAGGGCTCCATAAAGAGCATCGTCAAGGAGGTCCTTGCCCTCAGGTTTTCTGCAAGAGTCAAAGGCCACGACTCTCGGAGAGAGTCTCGGGGCTTGGGCATGAAGGATTGCTTCCAGGGAAGCGGCATCATCCTTGCCCGCGAAAGGCAATACAATTGCGCCGCCAGGACCCTTTGCAGCCGAGCAGCCAGGAGACCACTTGAGTTTGTCCACAAGGCGATTCGGGACACCTTGCAGCCAGACAGGGGGGTCTGGTTTCGGCAAACAGCCTAGCCTGAGGCTTGGAACGGTCTCCCGGAGGAGAGCGTGACCTGCCCCTTTTCCCTTGCACTTCAGGGCCAACGGCACCTGTACTTGGCGTCCCCTGCGTTGCGCAAGCCTTGTGGCAGCCTGGCCAGCTCTGCCCGTAGCCCGGCCAGCTCCAGCCGCTTGCTCCTTGCTCAGGGCCAAGGGCACCTGGAAACGGGAGCCCTCACTTATACGGGCAGTTGTCCGGGTTATGCTCGCGCGGAGGGGCATTGCAAACCCATCCATCCTTGGTGACGGGGCAATTGTGGGAGCGACCACAGTTGCCCGAACACTGCTTCTTGATGTGGTAATCCCGGCAGAAGGGAGTCGCCTTGGGATTGTTTCGAGACCAATTCTGGGGCCAGGAATCCTTTCCCTTGC